ATATTTTTTTCAGTGTAGAGAGTACACTAAAAAGAATCCGCAGAATAATAAACGGAAAAACATTTTTTCATACACTATTAATCAAAAAGAGTTTATGAATGTGCAACGGCACACAAACCCTTTTCTTCCGTATATGACGAAAATAATAAACGACGAGGGGTGTCTAAGGACTGAGAATTAGGAATTCCTCCTCAGTTTCCCTACAGTTCCTTCCTTGCACACTATAGGTAAAAATATGGAATATTCACCATAACTTTTACTGTTACACTCATTTTCACCTGCAAAACTGCGAGAATCAACATTTCTGTGCACAAATTATTTAAAAAAAAACAATATCGCGACTTTCGTGAATAGTGGAACTGTGAAGGAACCAACTGGTTGATTCCCATTTCCTCTAGGAATTATCACAGTGGCACTGACAACTCCTCGTTAGATTAGGAATTCCTATTTCTGAGTTCTTGGACACTGCTGAAAAGATCATATGTCTACTAGTGCAGAAAGAAAGAAGATGTAGTTGAATGCATAGATGTGATGATGATGATATCACAAATTATGTAAAAAACGAAAACATAGATGAGTCATGATGCTACACTCAGTAAACTTAATAAAAGTCAGTGAAAATTACTTTCAGATTTTCAATGATTGTATCAGATTCGAGGTTTAAATTTTAAAAACGTCTGTTCACTGACTGGATATACTAAGAAAGGATACGGTTGTAGTCCAATATCTGTACAATGAAGCAAAATGTATTTGTGTAGCCTTTTAAGCACGAATTTTTGTGGAAATTTGCGTCCATGCTGTCGAAAGACCAAAGAAACTATAACAAAAACTTTTATGAGCTACCTCGACAGATGCAAACCATAACTAACTACGCCAGGAAAGTTTCTCTAGTTGTGCCATTTCCGGTTCTTACATACACAATCAATACGACATGTTTTAAGACTATCTCTACTGTTTTACATACACCAGAAATCAAAAGTATGAAGACATCTTCCCAGGTGAATGAATCCTATGACGGATCTGATGGGATCCTATCACCCAACAGAATCCGATGGGAATTCGGGTTACGGATCGACTGTCGGTTCCGACGGAAAAAAACATTTTCTTAATTAGGGTTGAATATGCATATTTTCTCATAAGAACACTAGGGTCATTCGTTCATGTCGGATTTCGTTAATTTCCAACACTGGGTCCTATGGAATTCCTACACCATGGATCCGACTGTAGGTCCTGATCTCGGAATCCTATAGGATTTTGTTGGTTTTATTGGAATCCATGGATATTTGGTATATTCACGGTCTGACCCTTGTCGGAATCCGATAGGATCCTACTCTCGGAATGACTCTCCTGGGTTCCGTAAAAATATTCGTTATCCCACGACAGATTTGTTAAGTAAAACAGATATTTGCACAGTAGGCATCATCTGATATACTAGATACGGGAGCAATATCTCCCATATTTTCTGAGATAGTTTTCAGGTATACAGTATCCGTGCTTTTGTGGACATGCTGCAATCACCAGAGTATCAGTCTTTTAACTTGCTCTGACTAATTTACAAGACATGTGAGATTTTTCTAGTAATAATCTTCAACATAAAACTTTGCTGGCTCTTGAATTTAATCTGAAGCTTATAAATTAACACATTCTTACGGGATATGTTTTGAACGTCTTGCCATGTGAGTTTTGTATTGTACTTGAATTTGAAGTTGAATCAAACCGACGATTAAAAATAGAAGTGTGCTTTATAATCTGAAAGTTTGAAGCGGATGCAAATCAACGGAAGCTTTTTCTGTCGAAATTTAAAGAAACCAGTTAATCGCGATGAATTTGAAGGGCGAATACACTCTAATTTCATCGTTAGAAGGATCAAAATCTAAAAGCAATAAACTAATGCAATATTCAAAAGTACAGAAAGTAAAGAATCTAAGATTTTTTTTTTTTTTAATATATATTTTATTGTTCCCTATAGGGTTAACAAATGATAATCACAGTTATTTTTCACAATACAGAAGAGAAATAAGTTGAGATGTTACAACGATACAACAGGAAAATGTTTTAGAACAAAATGCTCGAGAAGAGAAGAAGTGTTTTTGAAAAAACAAAATTGTCCACTGTGTGCATTCTTGAATGAGATGAAGTCTAGATATGTATGGCCTGCTCGTTTGTAAAGTCTGTTTCCAAATTTACTATTTTTCCTCAGTCCTAGGCTCTTATAGTATTTTTTTGAAGGATCTGTTGCAATTAAGAATGCGGTCCATGTTTGTCTATAAGATTCTGCTTCAGGTGATTCATCGAGATGCTTTTGAAAACGGATCCAATATTTGTAAACATGATCTCTTAATGCTAGTTCTCTACTTAAGCATAAGGTAGTAAAGTCTTCATACCCAAACAGACTATACACTAATCTTAGACCTGTTCCATATACGTGCTCGATTTTTTGTTTTTGCTTATCGGTGAAATGGAACCATGTCGATAGTAACCACGTTATATGTGGAAGTGAATATGCGCAGAATAATTTTTTTCTTATCTTAACTTCGTCTTTGGGTAGTGTTTTATATATTTTTCTTAACACGACATAGCTGGTTTTTACTTTCTTTAACCGGTTATCTATATGCTTACCTAGTCCTAACTTAGTACCTATTTCTACTCCTAAACATTTAAAGAATTTAACGTACTCAATCTTATGGTTTTTATAAAATATTTCGGGTTTTTCAACTTTAACCGCACTGTGAATTAGCATAGCTTTAGTCTTTTCTATGTTGACTGGTAGGATATGGTCGTCTGCAAATTTCTCTAGAGATTTTAAAACTACCTTAGCTTGATCTTGAACATAGATCAAATTGTCTGTTAACTTCCTTTCTATTGCTCCGTTGATAGTCATTGTTAAATCATCAGCAAAAAGATGACACGTTATTTGTGGAAAGTACGATGGTAAGAAGAAAACGTGTAGACGAAATAAAAGTGCGGCTAATACACTACCTTGCGGGGCTCCTACTGAAATATTGAAAATCCTCGATTTTGCATCTCCATGACTGATATACATTTTTCTGTTTTGTAACCAGTTGAAGACCCATTTTCTTAGTTCTAGTGGCATGTCTAACTTCTCTAGCGATTTCATTAGTGCTGGATACCACATGCGGTCAAACGCAGTTGCGAAATCTACGAATATTGTGAGTGCCGGCCTATTAGAAGCAGCAATTGTCAACTTCAGATCCTCCATCATAGCAACGATTCTCGTTTGTAGTCTTCTGCTTTCCGTGAACCCGGATTGCTCATCCACGTATACTCCTTGTTCTTTACACCATTTTTCTATACGCTCAGCTATTATTTTTTCAAAAATTTTAGCTAGATTAGGTAATAATGAAATTGATCGAAGTCGGTTTTCGTTTGGAAAGGATCCCTCTTTCGATAAACATATTCCTTTTGCTATTTTTCCTTTCTCGAAAAATTCACCTGCTTCGGCACATTTGTTAAATAGAGTCGTTATTATATTTAAATATTCGTGTGGTAGATTTTTTAATAGCAATGCTGATGTATCTGTACTATCTAATGATTTTTTAGCCTTAAGATTCTGCCAATACATTCTTACTTCGTCAAACTTTATTTGTCCTAATGCAATACTCGCGGTCTCTTCTATTCTTTTGTATGCTTCGATACATTCAATATGAAAAAGATTTTTATTATCGTATTCTGGTTCGGAAAAGTGTTTTTTATAGTACTTCGCTAGTCTATTAGCTATTTTTTGATTGTCTCTTATTATTTCCGTTTTGGTTGTTAATCCTTGAAATGACGGAGTGTATGGACGAAATAGGTTTCTAACGTGTGACCATATATTATTTCCTTCTTTCATATTTTCTATTTTTTTCTCAACTTTGTGCTGCTCGTATTTTATCTTTTCTTCTGCATATAAATTCCTTGCGTCTGTAAAATTTTGATAGTCACCCAAAAATCTTGTTCTTCTAAATTTTCGTTTCATTTTGTTGACTGATTTTGCTAGATTCACTAAAAATGATGGCCACGGAGGACGGAATTTTTTAATATTTTCATACTCACTACATCTATCGCATAGTGCTGCAAGAAATTCTGAGAAAATGTTGAAGAAAGCATTGTATTCAAAATTATAAACTAAACTATTCCAATATGGGTAGATCATGCAAAGAAAAAACGTGATAATTTTCCAGTTTGTTTTTCTAAAAACCTCTTTGTCGTTTGCGGTAAAAGGAGACAAAAAGAGTACTGGGTAGTGGTCTGATGTTCCTTCATCTAATCTTCTTATACTCCATTTTTCTGTATCTTTACCAATTCCAAAATCTATTATAGAGTTCGATTTTTTCGAAGTTGTACTACCACAGTGTAATATCTCGAATCCATTTTCATCTATCCATTCTTTCAACCTGTTCCCGCTAACGTTGTTATTATTGCATTGCCAACTTTCGTGCTTCGCATTAAAATCACCAAAAATAAAAATATCTTTGTTTTTATTTCTATCGAACAGGTCTAGAGGCGGTGTACAATTAGGTGGAATATAGACAGCACCGATATAAATTTTTTCTTTTAATATTTCTATTTCTAAGAGAAGAAAATTAACTGACTCATCTGATACTCTAGTTGCAAGGTTATTTTGAATTAGACAAGCTACACCTCCATAACTATTGCTTCCTTCTTTACTATACCAATTGTAGTTTGGAACATGTGGAAGTTTACGTATCTGTTTTCCAGCTCCAGTAAGAATGCACACATGAGGACAGTACAATGAAAGAAGAAGATCAAGATCAGATACATGAGTATGTAAGCTTTCACAATTCCACAAAAGAATAGATAGATTTTCAAAAACACTTTTAGGTCGTTCTTTTCGCCAGAGTTTATTCAAGTCCGTTAAACATACTTTATTATTCCATTCATTTATAATTGAAAATAAACAGTTCTTTTCATTTTCATTTCCATTAAATTGATTAATAATGTCATATTTCAATGTTGGTTCACAATATTTGAAGTCTTTGCTAAACATTAAGATCATTGAATAAATTGTCTAATGCTTTATTTAATGCTTCATTTTGTTTGTCGGCTAGTTGTTCTAATGAATTAATGTGAATGGAGAATGAAGAATCCATTTCTTTTATAAATTCGGTTTGTCTTGCTAGTTGTTGAATATCTTCATCGTAATCATTACAGTTCGTTTTCATTTTCATTTTATTTATAACATTGGACACAGCTGATGTTGTTTTCATGCCTGTAATGAATATCATTTGTTTTATACTATTTGTCATTGTTGTGATAATTTGTTGTTGTGTTTGTTGCTGTTGTTGTATGATCATGCACGTTTGGTTAATTGAATTAATATGTTCTTTGTATTTTTCTTTTATTTGTTGTTGATCTTCTTTGTACCTGCATTTCAGTTGATGCAACTCGTCGCTGAGTGCTTTAATTGTTTCGTTTAAACTTTGATTTATTTCTATTGTTCTTGTTGTTGGAGATTGAGTAAGTAAGGGCCATTGGTTCTGATCATTTTTATTGTAATATTGTTGCTGTTGTTGATAATTTTGGTGCGTTGTTTTATTTTGAATTATTTTGATTTTATCATTTTGATTTCTATATTCCGATGGGATAAAGAGTTGAATGTGATGAGGGAGTTTTTCTGGATGTTTTTTCAATTCGTGGATTAATTGCCTCCTGTAGTCATCTAACGTTGGACATTTGTAGTCCGTTGAAATATGATCTGCTCCACAGTGATGACATTTTATGTGGCATTCTTTGTGTTCTTCAGCATTTGTACGTTCACCACCACATCTTCTGCAAATATCAAATGTTGAATTTGTACAAGTCTTTTTTATGTGACCTGGTTGATTACATCGTCCACATATCAGGATCTTTGGTGCTGGAAGAAATTCGTCAATCTCGTATAATTGGCCCATCAAATTGATTTTCCTGTTATTTAATAATAATTCATAGTCCTTTTTATCTAACAATTCAATTTTAACATGTCTTGTTCTATCATTTCGTGTTCCATTCATTGTTGTGATTGAACGTAGACTTTTATAGTTGATATTTAATTCTTCTTTAATATCTTGGTCTGAGATTGAATGCTTGATCCATTTCAAAATTATCGTATGCTGTGGTGGTAAATGTGCTGGAGGAATTGGATTTATTTTTATGTTGTTTAATTCACTTGGATATCTTTCTTTTTTACATAAGTAAACGTATAACTCGGTTGATTTAATTATCATTTGAAGATTGCCTTCTAAATCAAACCACCACAAATCTACTAATATTGGTTTTGAGAAAGAAGGGTTTTCACGTTTAAAATCATTTCTAATATAATTCAATAATTCATTTACTAATTTTGCACCTTCTTTTTTATCATTTAATTTTGGTTCACATTCTAATTTAAATGGAGAGTAATGGTATTCAGCTGCATAGCTCAATTCGTAATTTGATATTTTGATATTGTTATAATTTATTCTATGTTGATTTTGATTATTATCATTCGCGATTGTTGTTCGTTGTTTTTCACGATGATGTATTGAGTTGGTAAATGTTCTTGAATTGTTTGTTGCAACTCTCTCATCTTTATCATTTGATTTTTTCTTTTGTTTGTTATTGGGTACTGTGGTCCATCCAGTAGTATAATTATTATTGTTGGACGCGTCCTCGTCGTCCGAATATCTTGGACGTTCACTTGTTGCATGTCTTTTTAATGAACTATTGGTGGTGTTATTGTTGTTCATATTTTCATTCGTTCCTAATTGACCAATTGTTTCTTGAAATTCATCTCCATTACATAATTGATCTTTTTGTACACTAGTCATGTTATGATAAAATTCATAACTCATTATGATTATACGTCTGTGTTTGCCCTTATTGACCTTAACTTTTGTCCTTGTATATTATACTATAGAACGAAAGGAAAAGTGGACAACATGTAGCTCGTTAAAATGGAAGTGAAGAATCTAAGATCAGTATACGATATTCCTTACTTGCCTTGTTTATGGAGTGGTTTCAAGAAAGATAACTAATCAGCCTATATCACTGAATTCGAGTGAGATTCGGCACTAGTACATATCGTCGCACGACATTTCGTCGCGTTCACTTCGTCGCAATCACTTCGTCGCAGAACATTTTGTCGCACGACACTTCGTCGCAGAAAAATTCTTTTCGTTCTGTTCGTCTCTATCTATTTGTCTCCTCTCTCTTAATGAATTATTTTTTTGTGTATAACCAATGGAAATAACATAAAAAAAATGAAAAATTCCAAGAGATGTGTACTATAACGGTAGATATTTTATTTTGCTAAGACATAAATTTTTAATTTGGTAAAAGGATCAATAAAAAATATTGTTCTCGTTTCATTGTTATAGTGTTCAAGCTAATGAAAACTACTCAGATTTGTCGCTCGCTTCAGGAATTTCAGTTTAATCTAAACTAAAAAAACAAATCCGACTAGTTAACTATGGGACAAAGTCAAATAAAAATAAATACATTTCACTTCTAAATTGCAACATTCACTGCGCACTACCTTTCAAGCAAAATGCCTCAAAAAGAAAACTGTTTCCTATAAAAGAATAAGCAATAATACTCCAAGAAGGTTACATCTATACTGAAAAACGTACAATAACGACGAAATTTATTCTTCAATCTCAGAATCGAGATTGTAAAGCTAAGATCTTTTTAACAGCAATCAATTAATTGAAATAAAAATCATTTATCAATGAAGCTCGTTGTTATGCCAATTTATCCTTGAATACATTTCTCTTAGTACTAATATCACACTCTCATGCTCCGAAACGCGGTCGTTTTCCTATTATCTAATTAAAAATCGACATTAAATTCAACTTTTCAACTCCCTCGACTCATCTCAACTGGATTAATTCTTAAAAAATATAGTAGTCAACATAATTCTTTAGATCATTTTTTTCTTTAGTTTTGTTTGTATTTTTTTCCCAATCTATTCCTCATGATGTTGTATATTAAGTATGCACAAAATACAAAGAAATTAACTGATAAGTTTTCCATTGGTTATACACAAAAAAAATAATTCATTAAGAGAGAGGAGACAAATATAGATAGGGACGAACAGAACGAAAAGAATTTTTCTGCAACGAAGTGTCGTGCGACGAAATATTCTGCGACGAAGTGATCGTGCGACGAAATGATTGCGACGAAGTGAACGCGACGAAATGTCGTGCGACCATATGTACGGTCACCGATAAAATATGAATTTTTGGTTCCGACTAGGGGTGGCACTTTCCTTTCGTTTTGAAAAGCAAAGCTTTCTGACATTCAACTTTCATTTCAAAAAAAGAAAGGAAAGGAAAATTAAAAACCTTCTTTTGCTTTTTTCGTTTTCTGGAAGATAGAGTTATGTTTCTAGTTCAGTTCCATTTAAAAAAATTAGGAAAAATCGAAAATAAAGTCGAAAGAAAGCAAAAGAAAGTGAAAACAAAGTTGTATTTATTTGTTTTTCAAGGACTTTGCGCTTGTTGATGTAAAAATTCTGTACAAACTTACTCTTTTAAACTGACCCGTAATAGTTCCATAGAAAAATAATTTAGGTCCGGGTAGATCAATAGGCTAATTTTCATTTTTAATGAGAATAAATCACCGGTACTAGTAAGGTACCGAAAATGGAAAATTGCAGTAGAATTTGTTTTTCGCTTTTTATATATGGCTAGATAGAGTGTGTCGAGCTGATCATGAATATATTTTTTAACTTTTTATCATATGAACTTTTAGTGGAAAATTTTCAATTTTTCGGGTGACCTACGGTTTCTCATAAGAAAATGATTCAATGACTGGCACATTTTCAATTTTTTTGCATTGGTTTTAAATTCAATACTGTTTGCTTTATATTCAGCATAAAAAAGGAATCTATGACAGTCATTTATGAGGTTATCTTGATATAGTATGATCATAACTCAGGTACCACAAGTGTGGACAGGTCAGAACTTCAGACAAGCATTTTGCAATGCGATCTAGTTTTTTCTACAAGGAGGTACAACTGAATTTCATGTTTCATTAAAACCACTAGAGGTTATACTTTAAAAGGACGAATTGTGTTTTTCTAGATTTTAGTTTGTTTTTGAGAAAGTTCATTTTTGTAGAATTTCATAGTAGAATTGGTCTTTTCTTAACCTATATGTGACTGATATCTCTGAATTTACCGTTTTCATACTGAAAAAATTCATATATTCGGAATCGGCAGAAAAAAACTATGTTAATTTAAAGGGGTTTCAAAATTTTCTGAAAATTTTTATTTTTTCCAAAATATTTCTCCTATATCCTACTCAGGGTTAAGTAGTAAAGTCACTATCTTCACAATGGTACTTTCACTATGTTCAGAAGGCTGTCGATGGGAAGCGTGGATATAGATCCCAATAGGAAAGATTAAATCTTGAGTAATAATGTCGTTTTGAGCAAGTTGAATTTTCGACCTAACCCTAAGGGGTACCAGGGATAAATGTTTTGGAGAAAACAAAAATTTTCAAAAATATCTGAAACACCTATACGTCAATTCCATTTTTTGTGCTGATTTCGAATATATCCTTATTTGAGTAAAATACGAGAGTGATAAATTTATAGATATCAGCCACATACAGGTAAAGAAAAGATCGACTCTAACATAAAATTCAATAAAAATGATTTTTCTCAGCAACAAAGTAAAATATAGAAAAACCTAATTCGTTCTTTTAAAGCAAAAGCTCTAGTGACTTTAATGAAGCACGAAATTCAGTTGTACCTCGAGTGTGGGTGTGGGTGTCGGTCTCTTCTTCAGATAAGCCAACACCCTCACCCACATCCCACACCCTTTCAGATTGTGTTTCACGAAATTTGTTAGTCAATAGTAAAAGATAAAAATATGTGATTTAAATTTTAAAAAAGACTTCTTAGCATAGACCCCCTGCTATCTGATCACCCCGTAATGTGAACGATTTCTGAAAGTCCCACGGGTGTTCATACTAGAGGGTTTTTACTGTATTTTGAAAATTATATTGTCGCTTCAAGTACTTTTTGAAATAATTCGAAAAATAAGTCGACAGTTTAGAGGTCCCAAATGATTTGTTTCCATGGAGATGACCATCTCTGCTATAAATGTATATAAAGATAGACTATAATCATTGAATCGATCTTTATATTTAGAGTACCTTATAAAGTACCCAAGTAAAAACTTCCTATTAGGATCTAACGGGGTTCGAAAGTCGGATCTGTCGGATTGAATACTTATTTTGTTTTCGGTGTCTGTTTAATTAATCTTACTGAGACTGTTTTAGTTGTATATCATTCTTAGTCAACGTTCTTCAGGACGCGAGTGGCAGATTATATTCTTCGTTAAACGCATGTAAACAAAAAACCAAGATTATGTGTATCTGGATGCTTTTCTATCAAAAAACGAATTAAGTGAGTATGAAAGAAAAACGCTGCGCATGAAAGTATTTTATGAAGAAGTTGCGAAAAAAACATGCTCGAAATCAATGCAACAGCCAAGCAATAACGATAAGTTATAATGAGCCATTGGAAGCGTTTAGTATTTTTACCTGCGTAGAGTCATCTCTGCATTGGACGAAGTCTTAATCAACTTCGATAGGAACCATGGTTCATGTTGATGTCAAGTGTTCGGAAATGTGAGATATTTCACTGTGATCATCACAGTGTGATGATACGTCCATGTATCGTGAAGTGAAGGCAATGAACAGTCGCATCCAATTATAATGCCACTACACGCAAAACCTACACCACTCTCAACACTATTCTCGATATTTTTTCTACAGTATTGTAATCCTTTCTCTTTGTGGAAGAAGAGCAGTACATTTTTTTTATGAAGCGTTACTATGGATTCTGAATGAAGAATGAGATGAGCAAGCGTGTTTCTTTTATGTGAATAGCATTGATTTCAATGTCGTCAGCGAAACCAAGAAATACTTTGATGCACATCGAAGTAACGCCTCGAAATGTAATCAATCAGTTAAACACCTTGCAGTCATATGGCATGCACACTGCAAATCGTTGAATCAGAAGTGATTGTATTAAAGAATTTCAAGGATTCATATACAACAAACAATTTTTTTCATAAAAGACGTGACATTGAAGAGAAAATGAATGCGCAAAATGCATTTTTAAAGCTTCATGACAGCATTACTCACATGCAGAACAGTGAAATGTGACAAAGCAAGTTTGAATGTAAATGTTACTTTTCTCTTGATCGAAATTATATAGGATTTTGGGGATTCGTCGTAAAATAATCATATATCCCAGAGAATAGTGCAAAATAGAACTATTCTGAACACTATATGGAGCATTGCTTGTCTACTTTGAGAGCGTACATAATGTAGAAAATGTTACGGTAAAGAAAGAAATGAATGGAACACAGATGAAATATTACTTAACATTCGTTCAAAGCGTCAGCTCGCACGAACAGAAATCCTTGCACCTTCTGCTAATTAGCTGTGATTTTATATGAATGGTTGTACCGGTTATCTGTACCCATGGATGTTTGTACTTACGAAAAACTATAACACATAGATTCGTCAAAAGACATGATAAACATACATTATCACCTTTATTGAAAACTTAAAAGAAATTTTAGCGAGTTTCAGAAAAAAACAAAACTTTATAATATATCTATCAGCAGAATAAGGCCTAAAATTGAAAAAGTTTGATCTTCTCTTTTTTCTGATGTAAATGATGGCAACTAAGGTATTCACGGAGGATCGTATCGGATAAATTGGTTTTAAACTCTCTCTCTCTCTCTCTCTCCATCGATAGTTTTTACAATAAGTCACCTGCATCCAATAGTCATAAGATTTTTTTAAAATCAAATGCAGATCGAGCAAGTTCAAAAGGATTTCGTCATTGCTCACTAAAAGCCAGTTGATACAGTGTAAAGCTATTTTCATTTCATAACCGTACTATAAATCTGATGTGTCCCTCAAAAAGAAATAGACGATAAAAATACTCTCTTTATATTAGAAAATATGCACCTTCTAATGAAAATTAGTGTTCTTCACATGTATCATCTGGAATCAATAATGACTGATCTGTCATTGATATCCTTTTTTTCTAAAACTTCTGAAATCCGCTATAATTCAAGCAGCTAATAGGCCAACAAATGTTTCTTGTTTGTTGAATATATTCACTTATCTAATATTGTCAATGCAATCCATACATAACTTAAGCAGGATGATTCTTGTATTCAAACGTGAACACGACAACTATTTACTGTTTCTTCGCAAAATGAATAAATAACTCGGCTATCTGGTTAGGGGAGCTGTCTACCAAAATTTGGGAGAAAGGCTTAGGCAAATATTCAGCAATTGTAACAGGCAAGGCGATAAATATCCAACGAAAGTCAATATAATAACAAATGTCTACAAAAGTTCTTTTAAATATTTTATCTTGTAAATAAAGATTCAACCATTTTTATGAGTCTTCTCGTTTCTATTGAAATTAACTCGAAGTTATTCTGAACATAATGCTTCATGATGAAGGAGGCAACATGCAAACATTCATCAAACGAATTGATAAGCAATGGTAATGTTGACATACTCTATTCACTTGTAAAAGAAAATCAACGATTTGATCGATTGGCATTCGATTCTCTCTATATTCGTGATGTTGATTTCACAGCTAATTCACTACTTGATTGTAAATCTAAGGAATATAAAGAAGTTCTCGATCGAATTTGGAAAAAAATCTTGCCTCGAATTCGTCATCGCAGATAAACAAACTTACTCTAAGACAACTTTCAATGAATCAGGTTCCATCTACTTACGATTTTACTCAACTTCAGTTACTACCATTTGTCACACTTCAATTAGAAACATTACTACCATATATAGCAGGTATGTTTTTTTCACTATTCTTCGGTTTAATCAAATCAATTTTTTAAATATTCTTAAGATCATTCAATACTTTATCATTTTCTTCGTAAACAAATAATGCGATTTAATCTCGATATTGAATTGGAGAAGACAAAAATCTTTGAACGTGAGCTATGTGTGTTCGAATTAATATGAGAATGGGCTAAACATTTGATTGATTTCACTTTTTCGAACCGGCTCCGTGTGATTTCAGATCCTGATCTATCGATAAGTACTTGCGCTTCTTCAATTTTAACTAAAGCAACAATTAATGTCGATACTTTTGATGATTGTCTTTGTCTTATTCTTGATGGACGCTTCACTCGTTGATCAACATTGATCGTCGATATAGAAAAAATTTCCGTTTCAATAACGGATGTACATGACATGGTAAAAATACATTCTATCATTATGTTTTGAATAAATATGGAATTAAATATATTTTTCATTCTCGAAACAACTTTCCAAACTGAAATGTTGTTCATTGATCTCGATTAAACGGACAATCTGTAACGATGATCAACTTGCTTCATTAATTCGTCAAATGTCAAATCTAGACGAACTTACATTATTTCTTGTGGTATTAAAATATGATTCGACTTTTATCGATGGTACTCAATTATACGATCAAATTCTTGTTCATATGCCACTACAAAACAAATTTACTTTCAGTATAAATACTTGGGTTTGCAATAAATTTGTCGATATTACTCCTCCATCGAACGACGATATTCGCCGTAGTTTTATCGAAAGAAAATATCGACAAGTTGGTTTCTATGCCAATGATAACCCACTGAAGTCTGCAGCTCGATGCCATATTTGAAAAAGTTACATGGGTGAAAATGTATGATATAGACGTGCTTTTGAACATGAGTTTTTCAAAATTATTTCCAATCTTTTCCTTTTCTTCGACAACGGTCAGTGCGAACTGATGAACAACAAAAGAATAAACAACATTCGTTATATTTCCTCATCTTCGTAATCTTAACCTTACGCTTGCACATATTGATTATGTTGAAGAATTTCTTCTCAAAAAAACAAATACTCATGTACCTTGTTTGGTGTCTCTAACAATCCAATATCAATCACTCATAGGCGTAACAGATCATTTTACTACTGATGCAATAGAATTTTATTTTATTCAGTTAAAATTTCTCTCTATAGCTGAACCCTTTGTTCTTTCAGAAAATTTTCATTTGTATTTTCCTAAAAAAGACAAGAAAATATAACTGTTTACTTTGTTCATCAGAATCAGCTAATCGATATAGAAAGTATTGATCGTAGAAATAAATAAATCGATTATTTAAATATTTAATGAAAATGAAATAGATTCAATTAAAAAAAAACATTTATACACTGGAGAAAACAAGAAAGTGAAAAACAGTCCAATACGAGAAGCAGGTCAATTGAAAAAAAGATGAAGAAAATCAGAGAATATTAATTATACAAATAGCTAAAGTATTTCATTTCAGTTGATCACTACCTACTTCAGTAAATTTCTAGTATATGAATCAACGGGCATGATGCTTTATTACTTGATTATCTGCTAATTCTTTCAATGCTCTTGACTTCTCTCTGTCTGACTTTAAATAAGAAATAAAAACATCTTGTCAAACTATTTTTCGATCAATCTTACTAGAGTACCTTCAATCTTTATTTTAGCGAAAATCGATCAGTCCTACACTATATTTCAACCAGTTGGGTACGACATTATTTTATTTTACACTAAAAAACGTTTTATGGTACAAAAATAACTTGTACTCAATAGATTAATGGATAGCTAATAATCATCAAGAGTTATAGATGTTGTCAGCTTCACAGACATTCCTAATACAAATATTCATGTGTTTATGTCATTAAAAAAATGAGTAGATCATAGTTTTTAAGGTCATTCTATCGCCGAAATTCCAGAACGCGGTGTCGTGTCTCCCGACCTCAAAGTAATTATTAACCGTGTTTATAATTAACATTGACTTGTGGCTAAATAGGTGCAATATTAAATCAAAAGACAATGCAAGAATTTTGTTTTATGTGAGGTGTAAGTGTGAGTTTACGCCTGGTGATCGATCACATCCAACACCTACACCTGTAAATGATTCTTTATATCACCTTTTTACAGAACAATTTGATAGAAATTGAAATAGTGATACTTCAATCTGAAGTTTCAGAGATTGCTGACCAAATATTACTAAGCAAACGTTAAAAGCGTCAGTTCACGCTGATGCGTGCACTCAGAGAAACTATATTATGAAACTAGCATGATTTTTTTGTTAAATTCTCTATGAATTTGGACAAACAGTAGGCTGGCGTCCGATTGCACTTTTTTTTAAAATATAGGAATCCTTAGAGGACCAAGGTTGTCAAAAATATAGGATTTTCGATAAAAAATGATAAAAGAAGAGATCATTTTATACACCGCTTTTGTTCAATTGTTTTGGTGTTTTTTAACTACTCTGCTCGAAAATCGTTTTAATGAAGTTGTTATAAACAGTTCAAACGTAGCCAAGATTCTTACGTAATTTTTTCTACTGACATAAGTCGCTAATTCGAGGATCATTGTAAAAGTTTTTCACAAATCGATAAAAAAAAACAATAAAGTAGATCATAGGCTTTGAAACACAAATACATGAAAAAAGACAAATACTATTTCTCATAATTAAAGGAGACGTTTCAGATTACGGACATGACTTCCCAAAAAATCTCAACCTAATTTTATTGTCCTGATAATCAGCATTCATCGCTTATTACAGGATGACGCAAAATTTCACGGGCTTTCAGAATATGTTGTTACTTTTTAAAAATATGCTCTTTTGGTAACAATATCCTCAAAATACAGTGAAACTTATTTTTTCCAGGGGTATATATATACAGCTTTTATATCTAACTAAAACTTCACTAAAAACCCGAAACTTGTAAGTTACGTGATCACTTTGTGAATGTTTTTTTCTTTTGAACTATTTTGTATTTTGTATTTAGTATTAAAAAATTTCTCAATCAGCCCACTAAATAGGCGGAAGGAAAAATATTACTTAAAATAAATGTCACTATAACACAACAATTTGTCCAAAACACATGATTATACACATTAAAAGTGTTTTTTTCGTCTAAAGGCAATACTAAAATTAAGAGGTTTTCGGAAATTTTCTACTTTTTTCGATAAAATATAGGAAAAATAGGAATATAACTATAGGCGTAAATAAATATATGTTAGTCAATTTTCTTTCTTATTCGCAACTCCACCATCCTACTCGCTTTTCACATTGCAGTCTCACACATACTGTGTTAATAGTTTTAATAGATGCTTTGCTTATAAGATTGCAATTCAAAATGTTAGTGCTGTGAACATTTCCTAGGCTACTATTTTGCTTTCATTGAAATTTAATAATATTAGGAAAGCAGAAGTCCGCGCTGGGTGAATTAATCCCATCCCATCAGTGCCACGAGATAATTTGGCCTGAATTCCCATATACGAAGACTTTTTCGTATCATCCCATCCCACGCGAAGTCCTGCAGTAAAATAAATGCGAGTTTAAAAAAAAGACACTTACCGGTACTGTTACTGCATACATATGAGTATCGAATAATTGAAAATCTAATAGTCATCACGGTTCTGACTAGTATATCACAAAATAAAAGATTTTATATTAGAGATCCATCGATAGAACTCTGCGCATTGAAAATATACATTCAGCACACACTTGAGATACATGTAGTTAATTTTCAAAACTCAATTATAAACTACAATAGAATTGATACATTGTGCACCTACATTCCAACAAGCTCGTATGATTTTAAGTTTCAAACAGTAAAACAAGCTCTTATCTAAAAGAAAACTATGAATCCATAATTATTTTTTGTAAACATCTGTATACATGCACTAGTGAAATAAATTTCAGCAATAATATTTTCAAGAATTGTTAATCGTTTAATTTTGTTTGCGTAATTCAGAAGAGAATTTTATTATTATTCTAACATCAATTGAAGAATGAAAAAATATTCGTGTAAATTTTTAGATGAGAGACTCATAAAAACGAGATTATTCGAAAATTGATTTCAATAAACTTATAGGCATCTTAGTCGTGGACTAAAACTTAGAAAAAAACGCATTTTGTCGTAATTCAAGGTTCTTATTGTAATTTAACACATGAATGATCAGCTGTATTCGATGAATCATTTCAAACCAACGAATCAATCAATTAAGCTGAGCCCACCCCTTTTCAATATATAAGATGACAAAGCATTTTTTTCTTGTAACTTTGCAGCTCATTTTTTCCTCAATCATGCAACAAAGTCAAATTTTATGGTGAGTCAACCTTGAGGTACACATGTCACAGTGATGAATCATACTTTTATATTTTGCTTGATATATATATATATATATAGATACATGTATTAAAGAAAAAAGTTAAAGATAACAATTTTTTATGTCTTTTTGATACGAAATTATTATCCGAATAAATATTTGCAATAAAATATTTTATCATGTTTTCATATTAATAATACAATATAATATGATTTTCATGACCTTAACAGTACACTGTTGTGTAACCTTCGCAGTGCACTACGAGAACAAATGTTTAAGGGCTAAAATTGCACAACCACATATATATATATATATATGCACTGAATACAATACTAAATCGATGATTTTGTCGACAGAATGGTTTGAATGTGATTCATTAGTATTTTCTATGAGGAACCAAACTTGACTGTGCTTTTATTAGTAAGATTTATCTACTTCCAAGTACAATCGACCTCGACACAGAGGACAGACGCATACATTCTATAAAAGTAAAAATATTTTTGTTATGTGTACATTTCTGTTTTTTGTTGGCATTGAATGCTTTGTATTTTCTTCGATTACAAGACAAGTCTCATATGTTGATGCATTTTATATTTCAATAATATAATCGTCTTCATGCTTTATCTCCTTTTTTACGAAAATAAATAAAATATCTCTGTTACTATTTTTTTCTATAAAAACAAAATTCTTTTTCTTTTTAATTTCTGATAATTTCCAGTCTTTTATCTACCATATTGATTGTCCATGGATTGATGTTTGCACCTATCTAACGTTCTTTTTACTTCTTACTTTCATTTGTGCTCGATAAGGGCAGTCTATTTAAAAAACAGTGCGTTCTTCATTTTCAAAGGAAAGAAAAACGTAGGAGAAATTATATTATATATATGACATAAATATATTAGCGACAAAGTGCCTTCATTTTATTTCAGCTCAAAAGTCCAAATCTATATATCATGCACGTGTCTAAGTCGTGATTCTCTTAACAATATCAAAGGACGAATATCCTTATTTCTCTTCTGTACATGACAGAGCATATATTCGCATCGCTGGCATGGGGTATCATCATTTTTTTAGTTATCACACGTCGAGCGCATGCTCCATGTTTTTTTCTTTTCCGCACACCTCTGCCATTAGGGGTGTGTTTTGTTCTGTCCCGATAGAGAAAGAAGTATGGGCCGAAGCGTATTTTTTTTCTTTTCTCTACATAAAAGCGTTGTGTGATCGTCGGGTGATAGCATCTGTGATCACGCAGTCATTGCGTGATTGTACTTGAATTGCCTTTTTCTGCAGTGTACTTACATAGTTCACTTTGAGTTACACATAGAATTAGTTGCACGTTGGAATATATATTTAAAAGAAAATCTAGAGGGCATAATCATGATTCAAACGACACAGTGCACTGCATCAGATAGTTTTCAAACTGACAAAAAAGAAAATTTATCCGAGCTAAATTCACTTATGTATACAAAATTAAATTCAGTTCCTATGAATATCGAAACCAAAACAGAAATGGTATGTGACAGTTTCTATTTTTTGACGATTATCATAAGATGTTTATTTGTTTTTAATCAATAGGATAGCACCACTAGTGTACAAGATGCCGAATTGTTACTTTCAATCGGTTCTGCACCTTCAAAACCAAGAAAACTTCATCCGAAATTTCGACCGGTAAACAATTGAATTATTTCAGCTGATTGAGATGAAATAACTTTTATTTTCAGTATATTAGTGAGCCAGTTGACACATCAATTCCTGCACTCAATAATTTAACATTGTCCAATCGATCAAATTCATTATCATCATCCCTATCTGATGAATATTCATCTGAATCAATATCAACATCAACACCAACACCATGTACATCTCCATGTCTATCATCGAATGATGATAGTCAATTATCTTCAGCCGAGAGCAATTCTTCAACTACGAATCCTAATAAAAATAATCAAGAATATCATGTTCTCTATGTTAATCTCAATGGCGAATACGTTCCGGTCGCTAAAAGTTCATTTACCATTCCAACAGCGCTTCCATCGTCACAGTTTCAAATACCTATATGTAAACCAATATTAACAATTGATCGAAAACGAAGCCATGTCTGTACATATTCTGGTTGTCGAAAGTCTTATTTTAAATCGTCTCATTTAAAGGCTCATTATCGCATACATACTGGTAGGTTATAAGAAGGCCTTGGAGTTTTTTTCTTCTAATTACAGAAAATAAAAACAGCTGACGCATAAAATCGTCGGACTATGAGAGAATTTATCTTCACTTTTGCCAATATAAATAGAGGAATTAGTTTTCACGAAAACAAATGTCTATATCTAAAGTACTTTGAATTTAATATCATGTATTAGTAAATAGTGTTTATTATAATAAGGCTTAAATCATAATATAACAAAGCTGACATATATATATTTTATGTATTGCGCTTGATTAGTATGTAAGACCTTGAAAAATAGCAACGTTTCTTAATTCTTTTTTTGTTTTTATTCGTTCTAGGTGAAAAACCGTTTTCATGTTCGTGGCCAAAATGTGATAAAACATTTGCACGATCAGACGAATTAAGTCGTCATCGACGAAGTCATACTGGTGAAAAGAAACATGTTTGTCCTGTTTGTCAAAAGGCCTTTATGCGTAGTGATCATTTATCGAAACATCAAAAACTTCATACAAAAGTCAAGATTGTCTCTTGATGAATTTTGTGAAATTAATGTACATTGGTGTAAAAAGTTTTTGACGACGTATTAAATCAGGACAGATTCACGTACAAATCAAGTACCATCTCACTAGTCAAACAACATATAAAATGGACAGATGTGTCGTCTATTATATAGGATCTGCAAAAAAAGAATTTTTTTGTTGTTGTCCTATTTACGATATTATCCTGGACCAAACTATGCGCATAATTGTCTATATGTTACTTTTATTTTATTTTTATCGTTTTTGTTTTAAATTGGTGAAACATAAACGATTGTTTTTTTTTGTGCCATTCAGACGTTTTGAAAAATATTAGTATAGATAAAAAACCGAAGATCTATTTTTTTCTGAATAACACATCAACAAATTCTATAAGCTACTATTTCGAGAGTATTTCATGGCATACATCTTTATGTTGTATGAAAATAAATTTTATAGCTACTGAAAGAAGATAAGCGTACTCATATGGGCATATTCTTAAATGACGTTGCATAATAAGAAAAACAAAGTTCGAAAGGTTTTTATGCCATGTAAAAACATGACATGAGTTTTACAGGCGGAAACTCTGATAGATGCGAGAAGAACAAAGGGTATAATACGTATTTACGTATTTCTACGTACTTCCAAATATTTCTAATGTATATTTAATTTGTTTTTTATCGATTTCCAAATTAGAAATGCATTAGAAGTCATTGGAAATACGTCAATAAGTATTTTTCCCACTCGGATCCAATGATATAAAAATTGATCCTATTTTGCACATTTGTTTGCACTGACGTCAGTTGCTTGTTGGTATATCAGTAGGTTTCCGTTACGAATAGTGAATATCGAACGGTTAGGCGACTTTTTTTCTTTTAGGTTTGACTGCTTATGGGGCGTGTTGCTGTAAACAACTTTAGTAAGTTTATCAATGGTTTCGATTTCATGCAGTAATCGGATTCTTTAGTTTGCTTGTTTTTTTTTTGATAAAAACGAAGCACGTTTTGATCTTTGTTGAATTCATATAAAAAAAAAGTCGATTCAATGTAATTTTTATGCATTTCAATTAGAAAGAAGGTTAACAGTTAATAGTTATTCATCGCTTGAATAGAAAAGGAAGTCACTTTTTACAATTTTTGTATTAAACCCCTACACAGAATAGAAGGCAAGTCCCTGTGTTAGATTACTCCGCCGAAAATCAAGGTTTACTTCATGAAAAATGAAAGAATGAGCATTTCTCTATCAAATAGCGCAAAAACTGGCATCAGGGCATGCTGTTTTACAAAATTATAGCTTGCGAAACAGAGACACCACCCATGGGCTTCTATTCTGTAGGGGGGTTTGATTGAAGTTTATGCATGAATGATTTGATTTTTTTTTCGTGTTTACATATGGGTCGAAAGAATGATGAAATATAGGCCAAAGCAACTCCATTATGAGCTACAGTGATCATCGAACATGTATTATGAAGGCCTTTTTTTATATTGAAGCAGCAAATTTGCACAAGACAAAACTTTTATTCGAAGAAAAAGGACGATCAGTTAGGTTTCACTTTTAGAAATTTATTTAAACATTAGAATTCAATCAGAAAGTTTTATATTGTATTTTAGGCTTTCCGGAAAGCGTTTTACCTTCATAGAATTTTCCGATTGTAGGTAAAGGAAAAATAATAATTAGTTTACACCCCTGTTACATATACGAGTAGAGAAATCAGGTAATTTGAAGTTCCAAAAGGAAACTTGACGAACTGGTAATATGAAGATATATATATAGGATCGGGGTACGTTTATTTATTTAGCGAAAAATAAACTTATAGAATCCGAACGTTAAAGTTCAATGAAAGAAAAATTTTAGCGGTTGTGCTATGTCATCTATGGTTGTTGATAGACTGTTCGTGCGTTGGAATCATACATAGTTAAAATAATTTTCTAATAATCTAAACATGCGAAGAGAAAAAAAATGGCATTTAAAACTCGTACTACACTATTAAATAAGAATTAAAAAATAATCTATTTTTGTTTTTCTAGATGAACTTACGAAAAAAAAAATGAACAATATTTTTTTCTTAGCATTTATTTTCTCCTATTTATTTGTGCCAACTAGGCAATTAAGTTGCTGGACAAATTGTTCTACCATTCAAATGCAATATCCGCAGCATTTTCTTGAACCATCGGAGCATAGTTCATGTATTAGAAATACATTAGTAACAGTTTGTAAAGGTCAAATAGTGGCCTATTATAATGGTAAAACTTTTTCAAGATATGTTAATTATACATTTGGAACAACGCATGATCCATTAGAAACAAAATACGAAAATGATGTTAATAATCATGGTTTACATACTTTTAATAAATATCAAGTTATTGTTAACGCAACAAATGAAGAATCAATAATTATAGCTGATATTTATTGTACAACAATAAATGACTGCGCATTATATGAAATAAAAAGTTTATTTATTAAATATAGCCATCAACCAAATCCATTCTATGAATTAAAACCATTAGTTTATACTAGTCCATCGCCGAAAAAACTCTCTTGTTATAATGTTTCAATTGATAAAAGTGAACAATGTAGTGCGTCTAATGATAATCCTGTTTGTGTGTCATATTTCAAAGATTTCAAACAGGAATGTTCATTCTCAACCGATATTCATCTACACGAAGAGTTCACTGTCACAATCCCGAGTTCTCTTCAATTCGATCGGATGAATGAACTAGTCAAATGTAATAAAGATAATTGTAATAGCATGGCAGCATTATCGAAAATTCAAGATATAGCAAAACTTTACGCCTACGGCATTGTTACCAAGAGAAATAATGCGGATAGACCATGTAGAATCATGCATCAAATGTTTTATGTACTCTTATGTGTGGTTTTTATATTTCGATCTATATAATAAATAGATCGATTGCGTTCTAATATTACAACAAAATTGCCCATAATTTAGTCGAAATTTTTGAATACGTTCGATTTTTGTATGCAAAAACGAGCGGAGCAAAGGCTTATATATATTCACTATTTAATAACATTGAAATACTCAATGTGGACAGTAGCTATCGCAGAAATTTGTATGACAGCTAAGAGAACGCCCTTTTTCGCATAGCTATGTTTTTCGAAAGAGTCACGATTATTCGGCAGTAAGGAATCGCTAATTAATTTCTGAATCTTTCAATTTTCGTTGCCACCGAAGAACATCACGATAATGAAATAATTTATTCACAACTCTTAGAGCTTCATTTTATACAAATACGGAATAAAAACATAACAATTCAAACACAACTACAAGCAGAAATCGTTACTTACGTATATCGTGAAATACAAAAAAAAAGAATAATAATAAATCAATTGATTGTTTTGAGAGAGTACATATTTTTCACACTGTTAATCATCCGATAGATCCCAAACAAAAACAAAAAAAGACACGAAAAGATGACAATCAATCATTATCAAGAATAGTTTTTCGTATCGCTGTTAAATAATATTCATACGTACTATTAATAATTCCCCATGATATAAGACTTCGTATGAAATTCCATTTTGCACCAATGTAAAATTCTTTTATCGAATCTCCACGTTGCTTATAAACCATACGAAAGATACTTATTGGGCGATCAAACCTACCGTTGATTTCTGATTGTTGAATATTTTTCAACACATTAACCGGATAAATAAATGTTGATATAAGTGCTCCTAATAGACCACCACTGAGAAAATCATAGAGTGAGTGTTCAACGCCAGATGATGCTGTTGGTAACATATCTTTAACGGGCTTTCGACAAGAGAAAAATATTATATTCGATAGACTATTACGTATTAATGTAAGTGTTAAACCACGATAGAATTCCACGATACCATAATGTTGATATAATATCATGAATGCATGATAACCATTACGAATAAAGTGATTATATTTAGCTGTTTGCAATAAAACTTGCGTACGTTCTAATGGTGTAAGAATAGCTTCGGTACTGCCGGCAAGTGCAGAAGCCAAAGGTTGATAATACCAATGATCATCGTTTGAGAATGATTGAAATATATGTAAATAATGAGCATTACTACCGAACATAATACTTAAAGAAAATGTTTTTTGCAATAAAGGTAATGTTATACCACGATATAAGATAGTTAGACCTTCAGTTTTTAGTTGTGCATAAGCATCAATTGTATTAAGTCGAGAGACTTGTTGTCGAAAAACTAATTTATTGATTGGATATGTTAGAATAATATTTGTTGCTGATGAAAGAAAGCCAGCGATGTATTCAGGTGAATGATGTTTTAATTTATACGATAGACGATTTTGCCTTGACGTCATAGGAATAAAAAGTGCCTATGGATCATGCTAAAATTCATGATCTTAATTTACAACCATCTACAAGTAAAAGGAAAACAAAACTATGGTAAGATTTATGTATCAATGAACAACACGGATGCTGCAAATGCATTCAACTATCGAATGATGATGTTGAAGACAACTACGAGTTAGCGAAACTAAAATAATCTTAAAAGGAATCAAAACCGGAATCACTACTGTGTTTGTATTAAAAGATATTTAAAGTGGATTGACTATGCTAGAAAATCGTATCATATTGAACGCTACTATCGCTACACATAGCAAAGATACCCATGTCAAATATCAATGGATTCAATTGAATATTCAAGGATAGCATTTGTGAAGCCAACCATTTATTATATGATGATACGCCTCAAACGATAAGGCGATTCATTTCGACGCCTGATTCTAAATCAAACAAAAAATATTTATTCGTAGAGATAGAATAAAGTTAAAAGTAGAAAATAAAAATTTAGGAAAAGTATTTTTCAAAAATATTAATGTCGTAAAAAACTAGGGACACGAATACGAATATTGCAATAGAAAATGCGTTCTTTTAAGCTGAAATTTTTAGAAACGTCTATTGACCTTGAGATTTGTGCAGGAGTAAAATTTTCACGTGAAAATCTCCTTATTAAATTTTCCCACGATTTGTTTACTCAAAGACTGAAATGCATTATTTTTCTTAGTTGAAAACATAATTTGATTTGGCATAGTTCTTTTTATTTCAAAATAGTGAACAAAATTTTGACTTCTATTTATTGTTAACTTTAAGTAAAAACGCTTGTTTGATCGATTAAGCATGAACAAGTGTGTTTTTATCTGGTCAGTCATATTGTCTCTCATCACCCAACGTTAACTTTCTTTCACAGCTGTCATTTATCCCATTGGTAAAAAGCGAATATCTCGCTGTGTAAAATCACATATTATTTACATACAACCTATAAAATATTGAACGATCGTTGCTGGCCAATTAGGAAAAAATTACAAACAACTCTTTTCTTTTCTTTTCTTTTCTTTTTCATTGAAACGCGATACTCGACAGGAAAAAAAGACTGCTCCGGTCGACTGACTTTCTGTCATCATCTCTTAGCTAGTGTAAGCAGAACGAAAACTTATCGTGTGCGTATGTGTCTATATATATGTGTGCATGTACATATCTTATCTTCCTTATTCATTCGTTCATGACTCCTCTTTCGATGTTCGAACGGAAGAAGTAAGATGAATGCATGCATGTAAGCCGCATACTACTGTCATCAACCTTATTATCGTATTGTTTGTGTGGCGCATCCAGGGGTCAACTATCAAGCAAGACAAGAACTAAACCAAATTATGCATAACTGCTCATTAAATATTATTGAATATAGTCAATTTCTTCAACTACAAATACGCTCTGCCAATACCTATACATTTTTATTATTTAATGCACGTATTTGTCATCTCTTAACTGTTACACAATGTGAAGTTTTATATGCACCATCATTAGTAACTAACAATAATAATAATAATAATAATAATATTTCAACAAAAATCGATTCCATAGATAGTTATTTTCGTACTTTTATTCAAACAATGAATCATAATGAATGTGAAAAATATTCCAATACAGTCCGACGAAAATTTATTTTATTTATTATTGGAATTATCCTATCTGTTCTTGTTATTCTATTAAATACAATTGTAACATTAACTATATTAAATTCAACAAAATTACGTTCATTAATAACTAATCTCTTTTTATTGAATTTATCTATTGCGGATTTCCTAAGTGGCTTTTCATTTCTCTATCCATGTCTTATGAATATACTAGTAGAATATGCTGTTGTTAATTACAATTCAGCATTATTAGAACGTTTGAATGACATACGTAATAATTATTATATTTGTTTAATAGCCTATGCTTTTATTATGTCTGGTATGTTAATGTCTGTATCAATATTATTATCGATATCAATTGATAAATATATTTATATATTTAAACCGTATTCATATAAAAAAATCATAACTAAACGTCGATGCTTATTATGGATATCAAGTTTATGGTTTATTTCAATTTTAATCGGTCTTCTACCATTACTTGGCTGGAATAAAATGAAAACATGTTCTTCATCAAAACAAAGTTTATGTGTTAGTAATATTATTTGTCTTATTGATCGAGTGTTTACAACAGGCTATTGTTCATTATTTGCAACTATAAGTCTTCTTGCTGCTATTGTTATTTTATATGTATATGTTCGAATATTTTTTGTTGCAAGAGATCACCTAATGAGAATTGAACGTTTAAGATCACAATATTCATCCTATGAACAACCATCGACACCAACAACAGCCATTACTTTACTAACACCAAACAAAATAAATGATGAACGAGATTTACAACAATGTTTTACATTGTCGTGTTCAATACTACGTAAGAGTTTTGTTTCATTAATTATTAATATTAAAATTATTTTTTATCTTTATTTAGAACGTTCTAATGATGGTCGAGAACGAACAGGTCTTTTTCGTGTAAATATCCGTCGTAGTTTACGTGCACTTCGTACGTTACTTGTTTTACTCGTTGGTTTTTATCTCTGTTGGTTACCTTTATTAATCTATTTATTAAGTCATGCATGGATGGATTTCAAAAGTAATTTAATTATTCATGTACTTATTCTTATAGCTAATGTTAATTCATTGGTTAATCCAATTGTTTATGCATATCGTTCCAAACAATTTCGTATTGAATTATGGAATGGAACAATAGGACGATGTTGTGTTAATCATCAATATCGTCCACATCCATCGCCAGCAGCAACTGTTGCTGCTGCTATTGCATGTAAAAGAGCTCATCTTTTACCATCACTTAAATCGGTCATTTGATTGCTTTTTAAAAAAAACTTTTCTTTTAGTTAATATTGAAAAAAGAAGCAAATTGTTTTTTTTTCTTTTTTTGACTTTTATTCAGATAAAAAAGAAACTGAATTTGTAACGATATAAGACATAATGATTTACAAATTATTTTTTGTGTCTAGAGATCTTTTCTGAAGAAAAATATGTTGAACGAAAAAACGTGATCTCCTGGCAAACTGAGTCTACTAAAAGGCTTTTAAAAAAGTGCCATGATTTTTCATATGGCGAAGAAATTGAATAAACATGTCTTATTGACAGGTTTTTTTTGTGAGTGAGGCGAAATATGGGCCGTAGCAGAATTAGAGATAGTTCATTAATTAACCCATAAAGCAAAATTAACTTACTCAACTTGATTAAATTGTAGTAAAATAAAACTCAATGTAGTGCCACGTTTTTTGAATCAATACAACACCGTGGGTGCATGCCACAGGATTAGTCAATTTGAATTCCATTGTTAACCATCTTTCGAATCCTTTTCACTAACCTAAAAGGAACAAAAAACAACAATATTAGCTGAGTAACCATTGATTAGATCACTGTTTTAGTCAACTCCATGATCGCAGCATACTATGTAAAATAAAGGCAAAAAATAAAATCACAATGCATTTCTGCTTTTTTTTCTGAATGCAGCAGCGCCCAAGGACTGAGAAATAAAAATTCCTAATGTGCCGAGAAATTGTCAGTGCCGCTGTGATAATTCCTAGAGGAAATGGGAATCAACTATAGTTTCCCTCACAGTGCCACCATTCACCATAGTTGCGATATTGCTGTTTTAAAAAACAAATTTCATGAAATCATTGATTTTCACAATTTTTCAAGTGAAAATGAGTGTAAAAACAAAAATAATCGTGAATATTCCATATTTTTACCTTTATTATGTAAGGAACTGTAGAGGAACTGATGAGGAATTCCTAATCCTCAGTCATTGGACACCCCTCCTTGAAGTATCTAGTAGTGCTTATCGAAAAACGGCTTTCCAACGGGAACAAAACGAAACGAAAATTTCAAAGATTTATTATTGGACTATTCGAAATCCAACAAGACCGAAATGCTAAGCTTTCATCAAAGAAATGAGTGGCATCTACAATTTTGAATTATATAGTTGTTGTTTTTTATTCATTCTGCATTTGCAAAAAGTCTTCGAAATGTTCGAGATCAAAACTTTTCTACTAAAGACTCAATTAAGTGAAAGCTGATTCAATTGATTTCTGTTACTGGCCAAGGCTTTACAAATATCTGGGCGAATTCTGACATAAGAGATCCTATGCTTAGAATGTATCGCTGTGCAATACCTTGGTCGACTTTTCCACTGCAATACTATCAAGGTTTGCGTCTATCGACATTTGCATACTTCGGCGTGAATTGTTGTGAAGAAAAATATCGTGTTTCAAAGGACTTTTGGATTTAGAAATCTCGATGACTCTGCATATCTTCAGGTGTCTTAATTGATATTTTAGAGAAGTACAAAATAGTTCGCTGTATTCCTGAGACATAAAATTTTCATTCGGACTTCAAGAGTTATATACATTTAACTAAATAAACACGAGCGACAATCTCAACTCACATATATCAACGATTTGTACAGATTTACCGACATAGCAGAGTTGAAATGTAATCCCAGATCCATAAAACTGAGAACTATACGATTGCAATCTCGATTAATAGTGACATCTATAGAAATCAATCTGTCTTTGGTTTATAGTAAAAAGACGATATTTTTGTTTATTTTCTGATTCGATCTTATTGTCTAACATATACATACATCATCGTGTAATATTTATCTATAGTGAGCAATATTACTTTCGTTTTAATTTCCAAGAGTTTATTTTCATTCATGAGTGGTAACGAGTATGAAAGTGGTGATGCGACCGGTAAGTTCTAGGATATTTTTATTCTTCTCACCGTGAATTTCCTGTAGATGATGATTGCTACGAATCATATTATGATGATACCGATCCATTTCAAGATGACAATAATAATAATTATACAACAAATATGCATACGAATGATCCGGAACAGTTTGAATATAATATTAGTACATTGCTTGACGTTCAAACACGTTTCGAACCATCAACATTTTCATCTTCATATATACATACATCATCTACACCTGGCATATGTTCGATTTGTTTCAAAAATCAAGCAAATTTCGAGTCTGTAGTATGTAATCATGCTTTTTGTCATGATTGTTGGTCGCAATACATTGATACAAAATTTCAATATCAAAATTGTATAAGTAAGTTAAATTTATTCTATTACGCATTTACTTAATTTAATTATTTAGATTACGAATGTATGAAATGTGATAATCGCATACCACATAAGTATGATGGAAAAAATTCTTATGGTTATATATTAATAAATAATTCTATTTTAGTTTTGTTTTAAAACATTTATCGTCAGATAAAAAGAAAGAATTGTATAAAAGATTAGTCGTCAGAGCAATGATACAAGTACAAAAAAAAAATTTTTAAAGCTCGGTTGAAAAAAAATAAAATCTTTACTTTAGAATAACCCACAGATGACACTTTGTCCTGGAACATGTGATCGAGTATTTGAAGCAATAGGTAAACCAATACCCGGAAAAGTTGAATGTGAATTATGCGGATTAAAATTTTGGTAAATGATAAAAAAATTCATTAGAGATGAAGATGCACGAGAAACTTTCCTTTTTTAGTTTTCAATGTTCATTGAGTTATCATGCACCGGCTAGTTGTGATATTATGAGAAACTGGTTCAAAAAATGTCGAGATGTAAATTATTTTTTCCCCCTTCGTTTATTTTTTCGTCATGGATTTATTTTTCTGTTATTAAGGATTCCGAAACAGCGAATTATATCTCAGCTAATACAAAAGATTGTCCAAAATGTAAAGTGTGCATTGAAAAAAATGGAGGTAAGATTTTCTTTACAAATTTATTGGATTGACTTTTTACTATCGAATTTTTAATTTTAGGTTGTAATCATATGGTAAGCAAGCGAATATTGACGTTGATGAAAATTTGATAAGTGTGTTTTTTTGTAGTCCTGCTTTTCATGTAATCATCATTTTTGTTGGATGTGCCTTGGAGGTGAGAAATCATTAACAGGTTGTTTTTTTCCAATTGATTATATATTTATTAGATTGGAAAACACATGAGAATAATTATTATGAATGTTCTAAGTATCGTGGCCAACCACAATCACAATTGGAAACAATTCAAAGTCGTGCACGAGAAGCACTGAAGAAATATTTACATTATTTTGAAAGAGTATGATGAAGAATATCTTTTAAGATTTTACTATTATATTTTCTAGTGGGATAATCATCAACGAAGTTTAAAATTAGAAGAACAAACGAGAGCGAAATTATTAGAAAAGATTGAACAAAATATAAATGCACAAAATGGAACTTATATTGACTGGCAATATTTAGAAAAAGCAGCAGATTCATTAGCAAAAGTAAGTCACGTGTTATTTTCATTATTGATTAGTGGCTACTATTAGATATTTTGCATTGTATAGATTCATGAGGTTCTTATACCTGTGTAAAACTTGCTTTTTAAGAAGTCTATCCCCCCCCCCCGCCGTATGCCCATAGTGTCACCGATTAGAAGACAAGGCGAAAGACTAATAAGATCGAATTATAATGATTTTTAAGTCTTCCTAGCGCTCATATAGGTTTGTTTGCGCTTTCAGTAGGACCTTTTCTTTTTAAATCTAAATAAGTATATTTATTTTTTAGGCACGTTATACATTGATGTACACATATCCATATGCATACTATCAAGAAGATACTGTTGATAGAAATCTAGTAAGTTTCATTTCAGAATGATCGATATAATAGGATTTTGTTTTTTCGTAAAATGTTAGTTTGAAAATATTCAAGCTCAACTTGAAGTCGAAATTGAAAATCTATCGTATCAAATCGAGCGTTCAACAACACATAATCGAGGAGTAAATTTTTTTGTTGATTTTTATTTAAAATTTTTTTATCATAAATTAATTTAGGATATTGAAAATCAACGCCATATTGTTGAACGACGTCGGCAAACACTATTACTTAAATATTTCCCTAAATCAAACTCATAGTTCAATCTTTTTCTTTTCGTTTCATTTTTTTAAATGTATACAATGGCAATCTCTAAGCATTGTACATAATTTTTTCTCTTGTATTACTTTATTTAAAAAGAAAACCAGAAAAATATTCAGAAATGTGTTTTATCGGTTTTGTTTTAGATGAATAATATCAGTCGAATACAATAAAAACAAGCAAAAACTATGGATCGAGAACCTTGGTAAGATTTAATCTAAATACGAAAGTTGACCAATCAAATTTATTCTAGTCCGTGGCGTATTGTGGATGATTGTGGAGGTGCATTTGCTTTAGGAGCAATCGGTGGTACACTTTTTCATTCTATTAAAGGATTTCGTCATGCTCCGAGTGTGAGTGATACATATTTGAATCGACAATAATTAGTTTTTTTTTTCTCTAGGGGCAATATCGACGTCTATTGGGTAGTTTAGAAGCGGTGAAACTACGTGCACCACGTGTTGGAGGTAATTTTATTGTACGAGATAATTTATATCCTTACGTTTGACTATCATTTCTAGCATCATTTAGTGCATGGGGATGCATATTTTCGTTGGCAGATTGTAGTTTTGTTTATTTAAGAAAAAAAGAAGACCCATGGAATTCAATTATGAGTGGGGCATTGACTGGTGGCGTTTTACAAGCTCGGCGTAAATCAATTTTTTCGAAGTTATTTTGAAAAATATGATCTCGGGTCTTTTCTTTCTAGAGGGACCCGGTGCAATGCTTGGCTCAGCTGTGATTGGTGGCTTTATTCTTGCCATGATTGAAGGAACAGGTATATTAATCAATCGATATAGTCAAATGTTGATGCCAAAGCCCGAGTATGAAGGTAAATTTTGTTTTGTCTTTTTGATGGAAAAATCATTGATATTATATTTTCTTTGATTCAGAATCACCACCTGATCTTAACAAAGGCAAAGTCGATCTCTCAATGCCACCAATTTTTAATTCCTCTTCTGAACAATCTACGTCCAGCAATTACTCATGAAATCTATACTCTTTCTTGTTGTTGTTGTTTTTTCCGATCCTGATTAAGAATATCATTGTAAAACAGCAGAAAAATTGGGTTTTGCTTCATCCTCTTTTTTTGTTTACAAAAATTCTTCTCCATCGTGTTTTTTGTACGAAAGAAAAATAAAGTAAAACAAAAACAAAAACGAACAGATATTGATATTAATCGAGAATTATTTTTTACCAACCATCTGAAACCACATACACTTCCTGAATAAACATATTTTTACTTTTATGAACTAGTGAGGCAGATTCTTGATGAAACAAAAAATGATCATAAATTTAAGAGTGAAATAGAAGAATAAAATAGTTTTATTGAGGGTTTAATAATTATCGATTTTATTCATCTGTTAATACATTTTTGTTTCATTGATACATGGTCAAAGCAGGACAATTCATTACTCATGAAGTATAGATAAATGCAATTCTATCTTCATTTGTTTTCCATCAAAGTGAAGTGACTTAGAAGAGACATGCATGATCGTCAACAATAGTTTTTATCTTTTCTTTCGGTGAGTTCTCTTTATTATTATGATAGATAATATTATCGAAAATATTTTAATTCTGATGGATATGGATTAGGCTTTCTCTAGAAAAAATACCAGAAATTAAGGTTTTTCGGCGAAGATTTTTTCATGTGACTCTAAACTTCCATATGTTTCGAGACATGAACGGCAGATACCACCGCCTTCGCAGTGATGAAGTACTATATCTTGAGGATTCACACCACATTGGCAATTCGTGCAACTAAATTTGTTTTCCGGTGAAATAGTTTTTGCGGATTGATCTACTAGCCTACTAAATGGTTGGTTAACTTGCTGAAAGTTTAATTGCTCTTGGAAAAGATTATTCTGCATTTGCATTATTTGACTCCGCGAGTTCTTTCGAATGCTTGACTGTAACTGACAATTCTTCGTTTGCCCGGAACATTGATTAGTCATCGGCTTCCCCTTGTTGAACACTGCAAGCAAGAAATGATTTTGGTCTTTAGTACGTTGCATTTGTTTTTCTAACTGTTGTCGAACTGTTTGTAGTTCGTCCACTAATGGTTCATAAATATTTTTTAAATGCTCGTAAATATCGTCGATGGCTGGACGAATCTTTTGAAATGGACACTCTTGAATGTGTTGTGTCAACGCACTACGTGCACCCTTCCATTTACATTTGATATCGAATGCGGGACATGAAACTGTTTGGTTGGGACATTGCTTTTCATGTGCGTGGATGTCACCCCGTTGAATATTCGCTTGATTGCATCGTTTGCATCGTACGAGAAGTCGCTCAAGTTGATTCAAGACAATGCGAGTTGAAATTGGCCGAAACTCTTTTGCTGAAGTCATGGTGCGACAAGTCGGACATGTTGCTTGACGAGTCATCCATTGGCTAATACATACTTGACAAAATGTGTGACCACATGTTGCACTCGCAACAGGTGATTGAAATGGCAGCATGCAAAGTGGGCATTTCAACTCAGGATCGATGGAATCGTCTTTCATATAATCATAATCGTTAAACACATTTGCTTGTAACTTTGCATCCGCCATACGCTTGTTGATGTCTTTCGTTCTTTTTCAAATGCGCATTGATTATTGACTGTGATTCTCAGTATAAAAACCGATTGCTGCCTTCGATCACGATGAAAACAACAAAATTTATTTCCTTCCTCTGCTCTGGATGATTATGTAAAAACGTGTTGAAGGCAAACAAAAACAATTTTGCGTATTGATTTCCACAATTCCATGAATTAAATTTTACCCAGTCAAACAAACGGAAAAAATACACTAAAGAAGGCAAAGAAATCGCACATTTTTACGTAATAACACGCATCGAAATATATTCCTCTCTGACTGGGTATATGTAGGGATAATTCTGCATTGAATATTGGCTAATATTTTTTGACGAGAGAAGCTCGAGATACCAGCACGAAGGTAACCGGCAAGAGGGTGTGAGTTTGGGTGTGGGTGAGTGAAGAGGATAACCATTTGTCCATATTTGCACTGACACGCTCGCACACTCACACTGATACATCCATACCCTCAAATAAATAAATTTATATCTTAATCTCGTGCTGATTAATATTTTTGCTAAATACAGCTCGGGAGCAAGTGCCCGAGAACCAAGTGTCACTGGTGAGCAAATGCCCGGGGAGCAACTATCCGGGGAGCATCTGCCTGGGGAGCATCCTGCCGGGATTCTAGCACGAAATACACAACATCTATTTGTAGAGACGGGGCATTTGCCAAGGGTTCCTAGATTTCTCATACTGTCAGAAAAACAGTCGCTGCGCTCACATGTTAATAATGGATATTGAAAACAAAATGCTTTATAATTCATTGACTCAGCACATAAAAGAAGCAAATGCACGAAAACTTGAGCTTTCAACACTATCATATGTTAAAGGGCATAACAAACATATTTCTAAGTACGCAATCGATGGATCAAAAGTGATTCGATTCGTGTTGGCATGAATAAAGTATCATTTTCATGAGTCTACCAACAAATTATGTGCTAGGCGTCTGTATTTTTATTGTCACACTATTACAGTGCAATGCCTACATCTACAACTATAGCTTCATTTTGCATCTGAAGTCTAATTCATCACCTTCATGCAGCAAAAATGAAAAAAAATATAATTTTTACTTATTGCTTCCGATTAAAGACCAATTAAAATGGCATTATTTCAATCAGATTTCTGACCGAAGTTATAATTAAAGTAAATCAATTTTAACAGATCAAAATTAAAATGAGTTGAACATAGTGTTGTTATAATCGATTTGTAAGCGCACAAAGATTGAAAAAATCCAACATTTTTACATTTGTCTACTTTTACTATCAGTACCCAGGAGGATCATCCTGCCGTCTGAAAGGCCATCGGAAACGGCCTGAAACGGCTGTAAAATGACATAAAACGGCATTAATTTTCACCCTATTTCGCCGTAATCCGTCAGCTCGTTTTACGGGCCGTTTTTTTTTGCTAGAAAACGGCCATCGCTTTTAACACTATTCTCTTCGTTTTCCGAGCTGACGGAAACACGGCGCCGTTTTTTAACGTTTTACATCGTTTTTATGCCGTTTCAGGCCGTTTACGGGCCGTTTTCTTTCACCTGGGTTGCACATCTTTCGCCTCCTTTAACATTTCTTTATCTTAACAATTGTGAAACATCTTTGTCAAGACTTGTTGCTTTGTCTATAGACAAAAATAAACATGTTTATGATGTTTTAAAAATGAATATATCATCTACTGCTCGCATTCCAATCACTGATGGTGATAGATTGAGAATTTGGTTGTAAAAACAATGAAAATAAAATAAAAAAATGAGATGAAATTCGTCGCAGATATTTTTTTCTTCTAGAAATGCTGATGTTGTTTTCAGATGGGATCATTAAAAATATGCACATACCAAACCCAAATCTCAAATATTTAGGCTTTAAACGTCATTTTAGATTTTGAGGCACCTATGCTTCGTATTGATTATATTGAGCTGCGTGATTAGTTTGATAGGTCATTCCGATCATCAATCATCTGATTTTAGGAAGACAATATTAATATTGATTTCAGATTGAATTATACAAAACTTAACTAAAACTAATCGATTCTGAGGAACCAAAGCAATTACTGGATTATTAAAAATTTGAAGTTGGTTTTCTCGTTTCTCGATTCATAATTTTTGGATTTTAACGAAAGTTAATAAAATAAACCTTTACTTCAACATTTTGATACACAAACGTAACATTCTAAGGCAATGAA